CCCGCCCCGGCCGCGCCCGCCGCGCTGCAGCCCCACCCGCCCGTCATCCCCACGCCCGCCCAGCCCGTCAAGGTGAGCGCCTCGTTAGCTTAATTGGGGCGGGGGGTGGTGCTGTTAATGGGTTTGTGGTTGGGATTGCTATTGGTTTAGTTGTTGTCTGGTGTTGGTGTTGTTCCCAAAACCCCAACGAACGCCCCCAAAGCCCAAACTCCAAACCCTGAAACCCCATTGAACGATCCCAGAGTGGAAACTCCAATCCCAAAACCCCAATGAATGCCCCAAAGCCCAAACTCCAAACCCCCAATGAACGATCCCAAGGTAGAAACTCCCAATCCCAAAACCCCAACAAATGATCCCAAGGAGAAACTCCAATCCCAAAAAACGCCCCCAAACTCCAAACCCTGAAACCCCAACAAACAATCCCAAGGTAGAAACTCCAATCCCAAAATCCCAACCAACGCCCCCAAAGGCCAAACTCCAAAACCCAAAATTCCAATGAATGATCCCAAAACAGAAACTCCAAATCCCAAAACACCCCTAAAGCCCAAACTCCAAACCCCCAATGAACGATCCCAAGGTAGAAACTCCCAATCCCAAAACCCCAACAAATGATCCCAGAGTAGAAACTCCAATCCCAAAAACCCCCCCAAAATCCAAACCCTGAAACCCCAACAAACAATCCCAAGGTAGAAACTCCAATCCCAAAATCCCAACAAACGCCCCCAAAGGCCAAACTCCAAAACCCAAAATTCCAATAAATGATCCCAGAGTAGAAACTCCAATCCCAAAAAACGCCCCCAAAGGCCAAACTCCAAATCCCAAAACCCCAACAAACGATCCCAGAGTAGAAACTCCCAATCCCAAAACCCCAACAAATGATCCCAAGGAGAAACTCCAATCCCAAAAAACGCCCCCAAAGCCCAAACCCTGAAACCCCAATGAATGATCCCAAGGTAGAAACTCCCAATCCCAGAACCCCAACGAACGCCCCCAAAGGCCAAACTCCAAAACCCAAAATTCCAATGAACAATCCCAAAACAGAAACTCCAAAGCCCCAATGAGCAATCCCAAGGTAGAAACTCCAATCCCAAAACCCCAACGAACGTCCCCAAAGCCCAAAGTCCAAAACCCCAATGAACAATCCCAAGGTAGAAACTCCAATCCCAAAAAACGCCCCCAAACTCCAAACCCTGAAACCCCAGTGAACAATCCCAAGGTAGAAACTCCCAATCCCAAAACCCCAACGAATGCCCCCAAAGCCCAAACCCCAAGTAAATGACTCCAAACTCCAAAACCCCAATGAACAATCCCAGAGTAGAAACTCCCAATCCCAAAACCCCAACGAACGCCCCCAAAGGCCAAACTCCAAACCCTGAAACCCCAACAAACAATCCCAAGGTAGAAACTCCAATCCCAAAATCCCAACAAACGCCCCCAAAGGCCAAACTCCAAAACCCAAAATTCCAATGAACGATCCCAGAGTAGAAACTCCAATCCCAAAACCCCAGCAAACACCCCCAAAGGCCAAACTCCAAAACCCCAATGAACAATCCCAAGGTAGAAACTCCAAATCCTAGAATCCAAACGAACGCCCCTAGAGGCCAAACTCCAAACCCTGAAACCCCAAGAAAGGATCCCAAGGTAGAAACTCCAATCCCAAAATCCCAAATGAACTCCCCCAAAGGCCAAACTCCAAATCCCCAATGAACAATCCCAAGGTAGAAACTCCAATCCCAAAACCCCAGCAAACACCCCCAAAGGCCAAACTCCAAAACCCCAATGAACAATCCCAAGGTAGAAACTCCAAATCCTAGAATCCAAACGAACGCCCCTAGAGGCCAAACTCCAAACCCTGAAACCCCAAGAAAGGATCCCAAGGTAGAAACTCCAATCCCAAAATCCCAAATGAACTCCCCCAAAGCCCAAACTCCAAACCCCAATGAGCAATCCCAAGGTAGAAACTCCAATCCCAAAATCCCAAATGAACTCCCCCAAAGCCCAAACTCCAAACCCCAATGAGCAATCCCAAGGTAGAAACTCCAATCCCAAAACCCCAGTGAATGCCCCCAAAAGCCAAACTCCAAAGCCTGAAACCCCAATGAACGATCCCAAAACAGAAAGCCCGAAAGCCCAACAAACGATCCCAAGGTAGAAACTCCAAAAATCAGATCCCAAAGTAGAAACTCCAAAAGTCAAAACAACCCCAAACCCCACACAATGACCTCAAACCCAACCTCTAAACTCCAAATCCCCAACAAACGCCCCAAAACTCCACCCCCCAAATCCCCCCGGAACGCCCCCAAACCCAACCTGCACCCCCCAAATCCCCCCGGAACGCCCCAGGGAAAAACGGGGAGTTTGGGCAAAAATACAGGGGGTTGGGGAACAGAAACGGGAATTTTGGGGGAAAAAATGGGGGTTTGGGGGGGAAATAGGGGAAAAAAGGGGATTTGGGGAAATAAAAATGAGATTTGGGGGGGAAATGGGGGTTTGGGGGGATGAAATGGGGAAAAAATGGATTTTAGGGGAGAAAATGGGAAAAAAATGGATTTTAGGGGAAAAAATTGGGGTTTGGGGGGGAAATGGGGAAAAAATGGAGTTTAGGGGGATAAAGTTGGAATTTCAGGGGGAAAAATGGGGGTTTGGGGGAGAAATGGGGTCTTGGGTGGAAAAAAATAGGGACTTTAGGGGAAAAAAGGAGGATTTGGGGGGATAAAATGGGAATTTGAGTGGGAAAAAAATGGGGATTTTAGAGGGAAAATGGGGGTTTGGGGGAAAATGGGATTTTATGGGAATAAAATAGGGTTTGGGGGAATGAAAAAAGAAAAAAAATGGGGTTTAGGGGGAATAAAATGGGATTTTGGGGAGGAAATTTGGGATTTTGGCACATTTCAAGGGCAGTTTTGGGTTTGGGGATCTTTGGTTTCTTCTTTTTGGTGTTCAGAAGGAAAATCTGCCCCAAATCTTTCCAGGAAAGCTCCTAAAAATCCTAAAATGGATTTTTTAATAGGAAGTTCCAAAGGAAAGGGGTTTGGGGAAAAAAATTCCAATTTTGGAATTCCAAAGGATTTTGGCACCTTCTGGATTGAGGGAAGGGAGGTTTTTTGGCCAAAAATAGGAATTTTTTTTACCAAAAATAATTTTTTTACGGCCCAAATAAGAGGGTTTTTTTCTCAAAATAAGGAGTTTTTAAACAAAAAATACTCAATTTTTATGGACCAAAAGAAGGGCTTTTGTAACCAAAAATAGTCATTTTCATGGACCAAAAAATGGGGTTTTGACCAAAAATAATAATATTTAATGGACCAAATAGGGGTTTTATGGACCAAAAAAAGAGGGTTTTGACCAAAAATAGTCCTTTTTTTTGGACCAAAATAAGGTGTTCTTTTGACCAAAATCAGCCATTTTTATGGACCAAAATTTTGTCATTTTTATGGACCAAAAGAAGGAGTTTTTGCACTAAAAATAAAGGGTTTATTTGACTAAAAGTACTCATTTTCTTGGACCAAAATTAGTCATTTTTGTGGAAAAAAGAGAGGTTTTTTGGGCCAAAAATAGTAATTTTTGTGGATCAAAAAAAGGAGTTTTTTAACCAAAAATAACTATTTTCATGGGCCAAAAAAGGGATTTTTTTTTTCCCCAAAACCAGATTTTTTTCAGCCCAAACCAAATAAATTTTTTGCCCCACCCTCTCCCCATAAACCCCTCGTCCAGGTGCCCATCCCAGGGGCCGAATTCCCGTGGAATTCCACCGGAATTCCCAATTTTGGGTGTTTTTTGCCCAGGTGCCCATCCCAGGTGCCGAATTCCCGTGGAATTCCACCGGAATTCCCAATTTTGGGTGGTTTTTTGCCCAGGTGCTGAATTCCCGTGGAGTTTCAACAGAATTCCCAATTTTGGGTGGTTTTTTTGGCCAGGTGCCCATCCCAGGTGCCGAATTCCCGTGGAATTCCACCGGAATTCCCAATTTTGGGTGGTTTTTTGCCCAGGTGCTGAATTCCCGTGGAGTTTCAACAGAATTCCCAATTTTGGGTGGTTTTTTTGGCCAGGTGCCCATCCCAGGTGCCGAATTCCCGTGGAATTCCACCGGAATTCCCAATTTTGGGTGGTTTTTTGCCCAGGTGCTGAATTCCCGTGGAGTTTCAACAGAATTCCCAATTTTGGGTGGTTTTTTTGGCCAGGTGCCCATCCCAGGTGCCGAATTCCCGTGGAATTCCACCGGAATTCCCAATTTTGGGTGGTTTTTTGCCCAGGTGCTGAATTCCCGTGGAGTTTCAACAGAATTCCCAATTTTGGGTGGTTTTTTTGGCCAGGTGCCCATCCCAGGTGCCGAATTCTTTTTTTTTTTTTTTTTCCCCCAGCAGGATTTGCCCAAAACAGAATACGGGGCTAATGAAAAATGCTGACTCGGCAAAAAAAGGGGTTGGTTTGGGGTTTTTTTTTGGGTTTTTTTCCTTGTTCAAGTGAAGGAAATCAGAATTCCCAAAATTCCAGGAAAATTCCCAAGGTTCCAAGGAAATTCCATTTTTTTCCCCAGTGGGGATTTGCAAAAAAAAAAAAACAAAAATCAGAATAATCAAAAATGCTGACTTGGCAAAAAAAAAAGTTGTTTTATTCTTGCTGAAGTGAAGGAAATCAGAATTCCCAACTTCCCAGGAAAATTCCCAAGGTTCCAAGAAAATTACTTTTTTTTTTTCCAGCGTGATTTAAAAAAAAAAAAAAAAAAAGATACTCAAAAATGATGACTCGGCAAAAATATTACCAAAAAATTGGGGATTTTTTTGTTGTGGAAGTGAAGGAAATCAGAATTCCCAACATTCCAAGAAAATTCCCAACCTTCCAGGAAAATTCCCTTTTTTATTTCCCCAGCAGGATTCGCCCAAAAAATATTTCAGAATAACCAAAAGATGCTGACTAGGCAAAAAAAAAAGGGGAAAATCTTTCAAAATTGAGGAAAACTCTTTAAAAAACGAGTGAAACTCTTCAAAAATGGGTGAAAAGCCCTGGAATGGACGGAGAGGAGAGCGAGCTGTGAATCCGTGGTGGAATTGAGGCTGGAAAAGACCTCAAAAATCACGGGGTCAACCAAAGACGGTCCAAGAAGATCCAGAAGATCTCAAGAACTTGGAAAATGCAGGTTTAAAATGAGAAATTGAGGAAATCCTGTGAATTTTTCCCCCAAAACCACCTTGGAGATGGTTGAGATCTCCGGTGGGGAAGTGAGGATCCATGGGTGGAACCTCTACTGCAGGTGATCCAAGAAGATCCAGAAGATCTGAAGAACCTGAAAATTGCAGCTTTTAAATCAGAAATTTAGTAAATCCCATAAATTTTCCCCTCAATCCACCTCGGAGAGAGTCAGAATTCCAAGAAACTCCCAAGATTTCAGGGTTCCTTCCCCCACCCCATGTCCAGGTGTTGACTTTGGTGTGGAACCCCCCAGTCCGTAGGGCCCCCCTTTGGAGACACCGCGGTGCCGACCCCGGCGTCACTCCCGTCCCGTTCCCTGTGATTCCAGGACGTGTTTGAGATGCGCTTTGCCAAGATGCCGGACGAGCCGGAGGAGCCGATCCCGTGAATTTTTCCCCCAAAATCATCTTGGAGATGGTTGAGATCTCCAGTGGGAATCCATGGTGGAATTGGGGTTGAAAATCATGGAGTCAACCAAAGACGGTCCAAGAAGATCCAGAAGATCTCAAGAACTTGGAAAATGCAGGTTTAAAATGAGAAATTGAGGAAATCCTCTGTATTTTTCCCCCAAAATCATCTTGGAGATGGTTGAGATCTGCAGTGGGAATCCATGGTGGAATTGGGGTTGAAAATCATGGAGTCAACCAAAGATGGTCCAAGAAGATCCAGAAGATCTCAAGAACTTGGAAAATGCAGGTTTAAAATGAGAAATTGAGGAAATCCTGTGAATTTTTCCCCCAAAACCACCTTGGAGATGGTTGAGATCTCCGGTGGGGAAGTGAGGATCCATGGGTGGAACCTCTACTGCAGGTGATCCAAGAAGATCCAGAAGATCTGAAGAACCTGAAAATTGCAGCTTTTAAATCAGAAATTTAGTAAATCCCATAAATTTTCCCCTCAATCCACCTCGGAGAGAGTCAGAATTCCAAGAAACTCCCAAGATTTCAGGGTTCCTTCCCCCACCCCATGTCCAGGTGTTGACTTTGGTGTGGAACCCCCCAGTCCGTAGGGCCCCCCTTTGGAGACGCCGCGGTGCCGACCCCGGCGTCACTCCCGTCCCGTTCCCTGTGATTCCAGGACGTGTTCGAGATGCGCTTTGCCAAGATGCCGGACGAGCCGGAGGAGCCGGTGATCCCCGCCTCGTCCCCGGTGGTGGTCCCGCCCCCCACCAAGGTGGCCCCGCCCTCGTCCAGCGACAGCAGCAGCGACAGCTCCTCCGACAGCGACAGCTCCTCCGACGACTCCGAGGAGGAGCGGGCGCAGCGCTTGGCCGAGCTCCAGGAGCAGGTACGGGGCGCTCCAAGGGTCCTTCGGTGGGGCTGGGTGGTCTTGGGGTCGGGGCTGGAGGTCATGGATGTCCCACCACCGTCAGCTCCAGAGGCAACAAAATTGTTGGGTTTGTTGACCCAGAATTATTGGGTTTGTCAACCCAAAATCATTGGGTTTGTTGACCTAAATCGTTGGGTTTCTCAGTCTTGGAATCATTTGGGTTGTTGGCCCAAAATCGTTGGGTTTGTTGACCCAGAATCGTTTGGTTTGTTGACCTAAATCGTTGAGTTTGTCGACTCAGAATTATTGGGATTGTTGACCCGAAATCGTTGGGTTTGTCAACCCAGAATCGTTGAGTTTGTCAACCCAGAATTATTGGGTTTGTAAACCTGAAATCGTTTGGTTTGTTGACCGAAGTCGTTGGGTTTGTCAGTCTGGAGTTGTTGGGTTTGTCAACCCAAAATCATTGGGTTTGTTGACCTAAATTGTTGGGTTTGTCAGTCTTGGAATCATTTGGTTTGTTGACCCAAAATCGTTGGGTTTGTTGACCCAAAATCGTTGGGTTTCTTGACCTAAATTGTTGAGTTTGTCGACCCAGAATCATTTGCTTTGTCGACCCGAAGTCGTTGGGTTTGTCAACCCAGAATCGTTGGGTTTGTTGACCTGAAATAGTTCGGTTTGTTGACCTAAATTGTTGGGTTTGTCAGTCTGGAATTGTTGGGTTTGTTGACCCAAAATCATTGGGTTTGTTGACCTAAATTGTTGAGTTTGTCAACCCAGAATCATTGGTTTTGTCGACCCAGAATTATCGGGTGTGTAGACCTGGAATCGTTTGGTTTGTTGACCTAAATCGTTGGGTTTGTCAGTCTGGAATCGTTGGGTTTGTCGACCCAAAATCATTAGTTTTGTCGACCCAGAATTACTGGGTTTGTAGACCTGAAATCATTTGGTTTGTTGACCGAAATCGTTGGGTTTGTTGACCTAAATTGTTGAGTTTGTCGACCCAGAATCGTTGGGTTTGTTGACCCAAAATCACTGGGTTTGTTGGCCCAAGGTTGTTGGGTTGACTTGAAATAGTTGAGTTTGTTGACCCAGAATTGTTGGGCTTGTTGACCCAGGATCGTGGGGTTTGTCGACGCAGAGTCGTTGAGTTTGTCAACCAGAAATCATTTGGTTTGTCAAAGCAGAATTGTTGGGTTTGTTGACCTAAATAATTGAATTTGTTAACCCAGAATCTTTGGGTTTGTTTGCCCAAAGTTGTTGGGTTGAGTTGAAATAGTTTTTGGGTTGACCCAAGATTGTTGAGTTTGTAGCTCCAAAATTGTTGGGGTTTTTTGCCTAAGATTTTTGAGTTACCCAAAATTGTTAGGTTGACTCAAAATTGTTGAGTTTGTTGGCCAGGAGTTGTTTGGTTTGACCCAAAATTGTTGGGTTTGACCCAAAATTGATGGGTTTGTTGCTCCAGAACTGTTTGGTATGTTGACCTCAAGTTGCGTTGGCTTGACTCAAACCATTGGGTTGGTTGACCCAGAGTGGTTGGGTTGACCTGAAATTGTTGGGTTTTTTGACCCAAAATCATCTGGGTGACCCAAAATTCTTGGGTTCGTTGACCCAAAATCCTTGGGTTTGTTGGCCTGGGAGTGTTGGGTTGACCCAAAATCCTTGGGTTTGTTGACCCAAAACTCAGTGACCAGGTGGGGTCATGGGTTGGGTGTGATGACCTTGGAGGCCTCATGGAACCCTTGGAGGTGACACTCAGTGAGCAGGGGAGGTCAGTCAGAGGTCAGGTTTGATGACCCTGGAGGTGCCCATGGAACCCCTGGATGACCAGGGAGGGTTGGTCATTCCTGGGTTGCAATCGATGACCCTGGAGGTGTCCATGGAATGGTTGGAGATGACACTCAGTGACTGGGTGGGGTCATGGGTTTGGTTTGATGACCCAGAGGGGTCCATGGAACCCCTGGACCCTGATCTGGTGACCAGGTGGGGTTGGTCAGTCCCAGTTTGCAGTCCGTGACCTTGGAGGTGTCCGTGGAACCCTTGGAGGTGACACTCAGTGACTGGGTGGGATCATGGGTTGGGTCTGATGACCTTGGAGGTGGCCATGGAATGGTTGGAGGTGACACTCAGTGACTGGGTGGGATCATGGGTTGGGTCTGATGACCTTGGAGGTGTCCATGGAACCCCTGGCCCCTGATCTGGTGACCGGGTGGGCTTGGTCAGTCCCAGTTTGCAGTCAGTGACTCTGGGGGGCTCCATGGAACCATTGGAGGTGACATTGACCAGGGGGGGTCAGTCATGGGGTGGGTCTGATGACCTTGGAGGTGTCCATGGGACACTGATCTGGGTGACCAGGTGGGGTTGGTCAATCCCAGTTTGCAGTCAGTGACTCTGGAGGTCTCCATGGAACCATTGGAGGTGACATTGACCAGGTGGGGTCAGTCATGGGTTGGGTCTGATGACCTTGGAGGTGTCCATGGAATGGTTGGAGGTGACACTCAGTGACTGGGTGGGATCATGGGTTGGGTCTGATGACCTTGGAGATCTCCCTGGACCCTGATCTGGGTGACCAGGTGGGGTTGGTCAGTCCCAGTTTGCAATGACCTTGGAGGTGTCCATGGAACCCTTGGAGGTGACACTCAGTGAGCAGATGAGGTCGTGGGCTGGGTTTGGTGACCCTGGAGGTCTCCATGGAATGGTTGGAGGTGACACTCAGTGAGCAGATGAGGTCGTGGGCTGGGTTTGGTGACCCTGGAGGTCTCCATGGAATGGTTGGAGGTGACACTCAGTGAGCAGATGAGGTCGTGGGCTGGGTTTGGTGACCCTGGAGGTCTCCATGGAATGGTTGGAGGTGACACTCAGTGAGCAGATGAGGTCGTGGGCTGGGTTTGGTGACCCTGGAGGTCTCCATGGAATGGTTGGAGGTGACACTCAGTGACCGCGTGGGGTCATGGGCTGGTTTTGATGACCCTGGAGATCTCCATGGACACTGATCTGGGTGAGCAGGTGGGGTTGGTCAGTCCCAGTTTGCAATCATTGACCTTGGAGATCTCCATGGAGTGGTTGGAGGTGACACTCAGTGACAGGGTGGGGTCATGGGCTGGGTTTGATGACCTTGGAGGTGTCCATGGAATGGTTGGAGGTGACACTCAGTGACAGGGTGGGGTCATGGGCTGGGTTTGATGGGCTTGGAGGTGGCCATGGAATGGTTGGAGATGACACTCAGTGACCCTGTAGGGTCAGTCAGGGGTTGGGTTTGGTGACCCTGGAGATCTCCATGGACACTGATGCATTCCCCGGTGCTAATTAAGGTAATTACCGCCGGGTTCTTCATGAGGGACCTCAGGCCCCAGGCGATGGGTGGGGTTGGGCTCAGCCTTGAGCTCAGCTCGGGGTTTGGGGCTGGTTCTTCTCCGTGGCTGCTGGGTTTGGGTGTGCAGAAGCAAATTAAGCTCAGCTTCGGGTGCCAGGAGCAAATTAAGCTCAGCTTTGGGGTTCTGAACAGCTTGAGCTCAGCTTTGGGTGTGCAGGAGCAAATTAAGCTCAGCTTTGGGTGTCCAAAACCAGCTTGAGCTCAGCTTTGGGTGTGCAGAAGCAAATTAAGCTCAGCTTTGGTTTTCTGAACGGCTTGAGCTCAGTTTTGGGTGTCCAAAACCCGTTTGAGCTCAGTTTTGGTTGTGCAGGAGCAAGTTAAGCTCAGTTTTGGTTTCTGAACAGCTTGAGCTCAGCTTTGGGTGTGCAGGAGCAAATTAAGCATAGCTTTGGTGTTCCAGGAGCAAATTAAGCTCAGCTTTGGTTTTCTGAACGGCTTGAGCTCAGTTTTGGGTGTCCAAAACCCGTTTGAGCTCAGTTTTGGTTGTGCAGGAACAAACTAAGCTCAGTTTTGGTTGCCCAGGAGTAAATTAAGCTCAGTTTTGGGTTTCTGAACAGCTTGAGCTCAGTTTTGGGCATTCAAGAGCAGTTTGAGCTCAGTTTTGGGTGGCTAGGACTAGCCTGAGCTCAGGTGCAGGTGGAGCTTGGTCAAGACCATCTTGAGCTCACCTTGGGATCACCACACGTTTTAAGCTCAGCTTTCCACCCCAAAGGCACAACCAACAAAGCCAGTCATTTTTAGGATAAAACCTAAACCTCCTCCAGCGTCTGTGGGTTTAGGCCAGGTTTAGATACGGTTTAGGCCGGGTTTAGGTCAGATTTAGGCCAGGTTTAGATCTAAAATGCCATTTTTTGGTTGTGTGAACAGCAAGAAGGAGCCGCTGGTGAAGCTCTGCACCTCCTGTGGCTTAGGCTGGGTTTTTAGGCCGGGTTTAAGCTTAAAAGCCCGTTTTTTGGTCATGCACACACCAAGAAGGAGCCGGTGGCAGCGAAGGTCTCCAGATCCTGTGGGTTAGGGCTGGTTCTTGTTGGGTTTAGGCTGGGATTAGGCCTAAACCACCGTTTTTTATTCCTGTGAGCAGCAAGAAGGAGCTGGTGGCAGTGAAGTCCTCCAGATCCTGTGGGTTAGGGCTGGTTTAGGTTGGGTTTAGACCAGGTTTAGACCGGGTTTAGGCCTAAACCAGCACTTTCTGTTCCTGTGAGCAGCACGGAGCCGATGGCAGTGAAGATCTCCAGATCCTGTGGGCTAGTGCTGGTTTAGGTTGGGTTTAGGCTGGGTTTAGGCCTAAACCACCATTTTTTGTTGGTGTGAGCAGCAAGAAGGAGCCGGTGGCAGCGAAGGTCTCCAGATCCTGTGGGTTAGGACTGGTTTAGGTTGGGTTTACACCAGGTTTAGGCTGGGTTTAGGCCTGAACCACCATTTTTTGTTGGTGTGAGCAGCAAGAAGGAGCCGGTGGCAGCGAAGGTCTCCAGATCCTGTGGATTAGGGCTGGTTCTTGTTGGGTTTAGGCTGGGATTAGGCCTAAACCACCATTTTTTGTTGGTGTGAGCACTAAGAAGGAGCTGATGGCAGTGAAGTTTTCTAGATCCTGTGGGTTGGGGCTGGTTTAGGTTGGGTTTAGGCTGGGATTAGGCCTAAACCACCATTTTTTCTTCATGTGAGCAGCAAGGAGCTGGTGGCAGCGAAGATCTCCAGATCCTGTGGGTTAGGGCTGGTTTAGGTTGGGTTTAGACCAGGTTTAGGCTGGGTTTAGGCCTAAACCAGCACTTTTTATTCCCGTGAGCAGCAAGAAGGAGCCGGCGCCGGTGAAGCCCAGCAAAGCCGCGCCCGCCTACGAGTCGGAGGAGGAGGAGAAGTGCAAGCCCATGTCGTACGAGGAGAAGCGGCAGCTGAGCCTGGACATCAACAAACTGCCCGGGGAGAAGCTGGGCCGCGTCGTGCACATCATCCAGTCCCGCGAGCCCTCGCTCAAGAACTCCAACCCCGACGAGATCGAGATCGACTTCGAGACGCTGAAGCCGTCGACGCTGCGCGAGCTCGAGCGTTACGTCACCTCCTGCCTGCGCAAGAAGAGGAAACCCCCAGGTACGGCCAAAGCCCAAAATTTGGGGGTTTCAGCCCGAATTTCCGGTGGTTTTAATCCCGAGGGTTGAGGTTTTGGAGGCGTTTTTGCCTCACCAAGATGGCGGCGGGTGGGATTTAAAATGGCAGCCGCTGCAGGCCTCATTTTAGTTGTAATAATTAAAGGTTTTAATTAAAGTTTCAGTATTTTAAATTACTGAATGCACGTTCGCAACAAACCGGTTGGGATGAACCAGTTGAATTCAGGCTGGAGCAGTTGGGTTTGGGCTGAACCAGTTGGGATGAACCAGCTGGGTTTAGGATCAACCGGTTGAGTTTAGGACTAACCTGTTGAGACAAGCCATTGCATTTGGATCAAATCAGTTGAGTTCAAGACCAACCAGTTGGCTTTAGGACCAACCGGTTGGGTTTAGGATGAACCAGTTGATTTTAGGGCCAGCCAGTTAAGTTCAGGACCAACCAGTTTGCTTTAGGATTAACCAGTTGGGTCTAGGATGACCCAGCTGGGTTTAGAATGAACCAGTTCAGTTTAGAACCAACCAGTTGAGTTTGGGATCAGCCAGTTGAGTTCGGGATGACTCAGTTGAGTTTAGAACCAGCCAGTTGGGTTTAGAACAACCCAGTTGAGTTTAGAACCGAGCGGTTGTGTTTAGGATGACCCAGTTGAGTTTGGGATGTCCCAGTTGAGTTCAGGATGTCCCAGTTGGGTTTCAGATGACCCAGTTGAGTTTGGCATGACCCAGTTGAGTTCAGGATGACCCAGTGGAGGGAAAGGGATTTTATGGGGGAAATAAGATGGAGGAAAGGGGATTTTATGGAAAAATGGGATTTTTTGGAGGAAATAAAATGGAGGGAAATGGATTTTATGGAGAAAATCAGATGGAGAAAAGGGGATTTTATGGGGAAACAAGGATTTTTATTGAGAAAATAAGATGGAGGGAAAGGGATTTGATGGAAAAAAAAGGATTTTATGGAGGAAATGATGGAGGAAAAGGGATTTAATGGAGAAAAAATGGAGGGATTGGGATTTTATGGAGAAAATAAGATGGAGAAAAGGGGATTTTATGGAAAAATGGGATTTTTATGGAGAAAAAAGATGGAGGGAAAGGGATTTTATGGAAAAAATGGGATTTTATGGATGAAATTATAAAGGGAATGGGATAATACTATGGAAAAATTTGGATTTTGTGGATAAAAAGATGGAGGAAAAGGGATTTTATGAAGAAAAAAGATGGAGGGAAAGGGATTTTATGGATAAAATGTGGAGGGAAATGGGATTTTATGGAGAAAAATGCAAGGAATGGGATTTTATGATGAAAATCAGGTGGAGGAAAAGATATTTAAAGAAAAAATGGGATTTTATGGATAAAAATATGGAGGGAATGGGATTTTATGGGAAAAATGAAATTTCATGAAGAAAAAATGGAGGGAGCAGGATTCTATGGATTAAAAAATTGGGAAAATGGGATTTTAAGGTTAAAAAATGGAGGGAATGGGATTTTACAGATTAAAAAATTGGGGGAAATGGGACTTTAGGGATAAATCCTTTTTTATTTTACGGCACCGGGCGGATTTGGGGTCTGGGATGTGGAGTTAAAAATGGATTTTGAGGAAATCTGGAATTCCGAGTCCCCGGCGTCGCTCCCTGCGCCTCTTTTGGGATAAAATCCTGATTTTTCCTGGTTGTTATCCCGATTTTTCCTGGTTATTTTCCCAAATTTCCTAATTCCCACCTTTCCTCGCGCCCGTCCGCGCCGTGGGATTGGGATTTATTCCCATCCCAAAATCTGAGGTTGAGCCAGGCTTAACTCCAGGAAAGGGAAGGATTTGGTCACTCCAATGTTGGAAAATCCCATGGAAATATTTAGGATTAAATTCCAGAGGGGTCAGATGTGGAGAGGGAGCAGAAATCAAAATAAAGCCCCCAAAAAAAGAGAAAAAAAACCCAAAATCTCCCCCAAAAAAGAGAAAAAATCCCAAATAAAATGAAATAATTCCAAAAAAAACAGGATTGAGCTGGATCTGGTGGCGATTTTCCAGGATTTTTCCAGGATAAATCCAGAATTAGGAATCTCTGAGCACTTTTTTAGAACAATTTTAAGGAGTTTCCTGTAAATTTGGGGATTTTTGGATGAGGTTAAAAGGTCTTGTTGGAATTTTTAAGCCTGACTTAGAAATGGGAAAATCCAGGGATTTGGTGTTGAATTCTTCCTTAGATTTATCCTTTAAATCCTATTTTTTTCGGGGTTTTTTTTCCTGATTTTTGCCTGGTTTTCCATCAAATCCACCAAAAGAAACACGATTGGCTCATCCCAAATCCAGACCTTTAATTTTTTCCCAAAAAAGTGGTGACTGGGAGCAGAAAAACCTGGAAAATTTCATTTTTTGGGATGAATTTGACTCCAAACCACCAAACCCAGATTTTTTTTCCCAGAAAACTTTGATCTGCCTCAAATATTTTCCCCAAATCCGTTGATTTTTATGTTCCTTTTTCCAAGATTTCTCAGCCTTGGAAGCACCAATTCCTCACTCCCTCAAAACCTTGGAAAATTGGATTCGTTGGATGTTTGGGAATTACAAAAGCGATAAAAGGACTCCAAAAATTCACTTTTTTCACGGAATTTCACCCCAGGATGTGGGAATTTGGATCCGTCCGTTGGCGTTTCGCTCTTTGGGTGGGAATAAAATCAGGATTTGGGGGAAGATTTGGGGAAAATCCCATAAATTCAACATTTCTGTCCCAAAATCACCTGGAAATGATTTTTCCATCAATGCTGGATTTTATCCCCGTGGATTCGGGGTTGAAGGTTCATCCATGGGTTGGGTTGGGAGCTCCAAAATCCGGGATGATCCTTCTGGGAGCGCGATTCCGACTCGGATCCGATGGCCGGGGAGGAAGTTTGGGATCATCCTTGGGTTGGGATCTCCAAAATCCAGGAGGATCCTTCTGGGAGCACGATTCCGACTGGGACCCAACAAGCAGTGATGAAAGTTGGGATCATCCTTGGGTTTGGCTCTCCAGGATCTCCAGGTGATCTGCATGGAACCTCACGATTCCAACTGGGACCCAAAATCAATGATGGAGTTTGAGATCATCCTTGGAATCTCCTCCGGACCAGAAAATTCCAACTGGGACCCAAAATCGGTGATGGAGTTCGGGATCATCCTTGGGTTGGGATCTCCAAAATCCAGGAGGATCCTTCTGGGAGTGCGATTCCAACTGGGACCCAACAAGCAGTGATGAAAGTTGGGATCATCCTTGGGTTTGGCTCTCCAGGATCTCCAGGTGATCTGCATGGAACCTCACGATTCCAACTGGGACCCAAAATCAATGATGGAGTTTGAGATCATCCTTGGAATCTCCTTCTGGACCAGGAAATTCCAACTGGGACCCAAAAACTGGCGATGAAAGTTGGGATCATCCTTGGGTTGGGATCTCCATGGAACCTCACAGTTCCAACTGGGACCCAAAATCAATGATGGAGTTTGAGATCATCCTTGGAATCTCCTTCTGGACCAGGAAATTCCAACTGGGACCCAAAAACTGGCGATGAAAGTTGGGATCATCCTTGGGTTGGGATCTCCAGGATGATCATCCTTGGGTTGGGATCTCCAGGATGATCCTTCTGGACCTCACAATTCCAACCTGGACACAAAAACGGAGATGAAGGTCGAGGTCATCTCCAAAATCCAGGATGATCCTTCTGGGAACGCGATTCTGACTTGGACCAACAACCGGCGACGGAATTTGGGATCATCCTTGGGTTGAAATCCTTGGAATCTTCTTCTGGACGTCGTGATTCCGACTTGGATCAACAGTTGGTGATGAAGGTTGGGATCATTTTGGGTTGGGATCTCCAGAATCCAGGATGATCCTTCTGGACCTCACAATTGCAACCGGGACGCAAAAACAGGGATGAAGGTTGAGGTCATCTCCAAAATCCAGGATGATCCTTCTGGGAACGCGATTCCAACGGGGATCCACCGACCAGCAATGGAATTTGGGATCATCCTTGGGTTGAAATCTGTGGAATCTTCCATTGGAGCTCGTGGTTCTGCTGGAACCCATCAACTGGTGATGGAACTTGGGATCATCTTTGGGTGGAAATCTGGAATCTCCTTTGGGACCTCATGATTCCACCTGGGATCCAGCACTGATGATGGAATTTGGGATCATCTTTGGCTTGAAATCCTTGGAATCTCCTTCTGGGAACACGATTCCAGCCAGGATCCAACGACCGGCGATGGAATTTGCCAAGGTTCTCCCTCTGGAGCAGCGACATTCCCGGGACATCTGATCCTCTGGAATCCATGGATTTCCTTGGCCGTTGGATCTTTTCCCAACAATTTTCCCTCATTTTTTTGGCGGCAAAATCCCCGATCCCACAAATCCCTGGGGAATTCCAGCTCCATCCCTTGGGAATTCCCATCCCGTTCCCAATCGGTACCGTCGGGTTTGTCCGGAGACGTTCCCAAATTAATTTCTTTTCTTTCTTCCTTTTTTTTTTGGGCAGAAATGGCGCCAAAATTGAAGAAAAAAGGGCACTCGGGGCGGGAGCAGAAAAAGGTAGGAATGGGATTGGGATTGGGATTGGATCCATGGATTGGGGTTGGATTGGGATCCATGGATTGGGTTCAGGTTGGGATGGGATCCATGGATTGGGGTTGGATCCATGGCTTTGGATTGGATCCATGGGATTGGATCTTGGGATCATCCTTGGGTTGGGATCTCCAAAATCCAGGAGGATCCTTCTGGGAGCGCGATTCCGACTGGGACCCAACAAGCAGTGATGAAAGTTGGGATCATCCTTGGGTTGGGATCTCCAGGATGATCATCCTTGGGTTGGGATCTCCAGGATGATCATCCTTGGGTTGGGATGAAAGTTGGGATCATCCTTGGGTTGGGATCTCCAGGATGATCATCCTTGGGTTGGGATCTCCAGGATGATCCTTCTGGACCTCACAATTCCAACCTGGACACAAAAACGGAGATGAAGGTCGAGGTCATCTCCAAAATCCAGGATGATCCTTCTGGGAACGCGATTCTGACTTGGACCAACAACCGGCGACGGAATTTGGGATCATCCTTGGGTTGAAATCCTTGGAATCTTCTTCTGGACGTCGTGATTCCGACTTGGATCAACAGTTGGTGATGAAGGTTGGGATCATTTTGGGTTGGGATCTCCAGAATCCAGGATGATCCTTCTGGACCTCACAATTGCAACCGGGACGCAAAAACAGGGATGAAGGTTGAGGTCATCTCCAAAATCCAGGATGATCCTTCTGGGAACGCGATTCCAACGGGGATCCACCGACCAGCAATGGAATTTGGGATCATCCTTGGGTTGAAATCTGTGGAATCTTCCATTGGAGCTCGTGGTTCTGCTGGAACCCATCAACTGGTGATGGAACTTGGGATCATCTTTGGGTGGAAATCTGGAATCTCCTTTGGGACCTCATGATTCCACCTGGGATCCAGCACTGATGATGGAATTTGGGATCATCTTTGGCTTGAAATCCTTGGAATCTCCTTCTGGGAACACGATTCCAGCCAGGATCCAACGACCGGCGATGGAATTTGCCAAGGTTCTCCCTCTGGAGCAGCGACATTCCCGGGACATCTGATCCTCTGGAATCCATGGATTTCCTTGGCCGTTGGATCTTTTCCCAACAATTTTCCCTCATTTTTTTGGCGGCAAAATCCCCGATCCCACAAATCCCTGGGGAATTCCAGCTCCATCCCTTGGGAATTCCCATCCCGTTCCCAATCGGTACCGTCGGGTTTGTCCGGAGACGTTCCCAAATTAATTTCTTTTCTTTCTTCCTTTTTTTTTTGGGCAGAAATGGCGCCAAAATTGAAGAAAAAAGGGCACTCGGGGCGGGAGCAGAAAAAGGTAGGAATGGGATTGGGATTGGGATTGGATCCATGGATTGGGGTTGGATTGGGATCCATGGATTGGGTTCAGGTTGGGATGGGATCCATGGATTGGGGTTGGATCCATGGCTTTGGATTGGATCCATGGGATTGGATCCATGGATTTGGGTTGGATTGGGATCCACGGATTGGGTTCGGGTTGGGATGGGATCCGTGGGATTGGGATTGGGATTGGATCCATGGGATTGGATCCATGGATTGCAGTTGGATTGGGATCCATGGATTGGGGTTGGGATTGGGATTGGGATTGGATCATTAGTTGGGTTGGGATTGGATCCATGGATTTGGATTGGGATCCATGGATTGGGATTGGGATTGGATCATTAGTTGGGTTGGGATTGGATCCATGGGATTGGATCCTTGGATTGGGATCCATGGATTAGGGTTGGATTGGGATTGGATCCATGCCTTTGAATTGGATTAATTAATGGATTGGGGTTGGGGTTGGGGTTGGATCCATGGCATTGGATTGGATTAATTAATTGGATTGGGATTGGGGTTGGGGTTGGATCCATGGATTTGGATTGGGTTGGGATTGGATCATTAGTTGGGTTGGGGTTGGATCCATGGATTTGGATTGGATTAATTAATTGGATTGGGGTTGGGGTTGGATCCATGGATTTGGATTGGATTAATTAATTGGATTGGTTTTGGGGTTGGTTGGATCCATGGATTTGGATTGGATTAATTAATTGGATTGGAGTTGGGGTTGGATCCATGGATTTGGATTGGATTAATTAATTGGATTGGGATTGGGGTTGGGGTTGGATCCATGGATTTGGATTGGATCCATGGATTGGGATTGGGTTGGGGTTGGATCCATGGATTTGGATTGGATCCATGGATTGGGATTGGGTTGAGATCGGATCATTAATTGGGTTGGGGTTGGATCCATGGGTTTGGATTGGATTAATTAATTGGATTGGGATTGGGGTTGGGGTTGGATCCATGGATTTGGATTGGATCCATGGATTGGGATTGGGTTGAGATCGGATCATTAATTGGGTTGGGGTTGGATCCATGGGTTAGGGTTGGATTGGGGTTGGATCCATGGATTGGGGATGGGATCGGTCATTTTGATGACCAGAAGCCATTTTTGATGACGCAGAAAAACATTTTGGTGTCCAGAACCACATTTTGATGACCCAAGTGGTCATTTCAATGATCAGAAATGTCTCTTTCATGACCCAGGAGTTAATTTTGAGGTCTAAAAATGTATTTTGATGACCAGAACATCGTCTTGATGACCCAAGAGGTCATTTTGACCACCAAAAGACCATTTGGGAGTCCAAAACCCACATTTGGATGACCCAAGAGGTCATTTTGACCACCAAAACACCATTTTGGTGTCATTTCAATGATCAGAAATGTCTCTTTCATGACCCAGGAGTTAATTTTGAGGTCTAAAAATGTATTTTGATGACCAGAACATCGTCTTGATGACCCAAGAGGTCATTTTGACCACCAAAAGACCATTTGGGAGTCCAAAACCCACATTTGGATGACCCAAGAGGTCATTTTGACCACCAAAACACCATTTTGGTGTCCAAAACCACCTTCGATGACCCAAGAGGTCCTTTTGATGACCAAAACACCATTTGGGAGTCCAAAACCACCTTTGATGACCCAAGAGGTTATTTTGACCTCTAAAACCCCATTTTGGTGTCCAAAACCACCGTTAGATAACCCAAGAGCTCATTTTGGTGACCAAAAGACCATTTTGGTGTCCAAAACCACCTTTAGCTAACCCAAGAGCTCATTTTGACGACCAAACCACCAATTTTGATGTCCAAGACCACATTTACATACCAAAAAAACCATTTTGGTGTCCAAAACCACCCGTGGATGACCCAGAAGATGATTTGACCACCAAACCACCAATTTTGGTGACCCCCTGGCCCATTTTGATGCCTCGTTCCCATCCCCAAACCCCCATTTTGCCGCCCCACCCGAACATCTCCACCCTTTCTAACTCCTCCCCCTTCCCACAGCACCACCACCACCACCACCAACCGGCGGAAGAGGATGGTGGTGGGTGGGGAAAGGGAGGTTCTTGGATCTTGGTGTTCATCATGGTCTTGTTGGGATGTCCCAAGAGGAGGAGGATGGTGGTAGATGGGAGAAAGGGAAGTTCTTGGGTGTTGATGTCCACCGTGGTCTTGGTGGAGTGTCCCAAGAGAAGGAGGATGGTGGTGGGTGCAGAAGAGGGAGGGTCTTAGGTCTTGATGTCCACCATGGTCTTGTGGGGGTATCACGAAGGGATGAGGATGGTGGTGGGTGGGGGAAAGGGACGTTCTTCACTCTTGGTGTCCATCGTAGTCTTGTTGGGATGTGCCAAGAGGAGGAGGATGGTGGTAGATGGGGAAAAGGGAGGTTCTTGGGTCTTGATGTCCACCATGGTCTTGTGGAGATGTCCCAAGAGGAAGAGGATGGTGGTGGGTGGGGGAAAGGGACATTGTTGGGTCGTGGTGTCACCGTGGTCATGCTGGGGTGTCCCAAGAGAAGGAGGATGGTGGTGGGTGCAGAAGAGGGAGGGTCTTGGGTCGTGGTGTCACCATGGTCTTGTGGAGATGTCCCAAGAGGAAGAGGATAGTGGTAGATCGGAGAAAGGGAAGTTCTTGGGTGTTGGTGTCCACCGTGGTCATGCTGGGATGTCCCAAGAGGAAGAGAATGGTGGTGGGTGGGGGAAAGGGACATTCTTGGGTCGTGGTGTCACCGTGGTCATGCTGGGGTGTCCCAAGAGGAGGAGGATGGTGGTGGGTGCAGAAGAGGGAGGGTCTTGGGTCATGATGTGCACCATGGTCCTGTTGGGATGTCCCAATGTTGTAGAGGAAGAGGATGGTGGTGGGTGGGGAAAAGGGAAGTTCTTGGGTTGTGGTGTCCACCGTGGTCTTGGTGGGGTGTGCCAAGAGGAGGAGGATGGTGGTAGATAGGAGAAAGGGAAGTTCTTGGGTCTTGGTGTCCATCACGGTCTTGGTGGGATGTCCCAAAAGGAAGAGGATGGTGGTGGGTGCAGGAGAGGGAGGTTCTTGGGTCTTGGTGTCCACCGTGGGCTTGGTGGGATGTCCCAGTATTGTAGAGGAAGAGGATGGTAGTAGATGGGGGAAAGGGAAGTTCTTGGGTGGTGGTGTCCATCGTGGTTTTGTGGGGGTGTCCCAAGAGGAGGATGATGGTGGTGGGTGGGGGAAAGGGACATTCTTGGGTCGTGGTGTCCACCGTGGTCTTGGTGGGATGTCCCAAGAGGAGGAGGATGGTGGTGGGTGCAGAAGAGGGAGGGTCTTGGGTCTTGATGTTCTTGGGTCTTGGTGTCCATCACGGTCTTGGTGGGATGTCCCAAAAGGAAGAGGATGGTGGTGGGTGCAGGAGAGGGAGGTTCTTGGGTCTTGGTGTCCACCGTGGGCTTGGTGGGATGTCCCAGTATTGTAGAGGAAGAGGATGGTAGTAGATGGGGGAAAGGGAAGTTCTTGGGTGGTGGTGTCCATCGTGGTTTTGTGGGGGTGTCCCAAGAGGAGGATGATGGTGGTGGGTGGGGGAAAGGGACATTCTTGGGTCGTGGTGTCCACCGTGGTCTTGGTGGGATGTCCCAAGAGGAGGAGGATGGTGGTGGGTGCAGAAGAGGGAGGGTCTTGGGTCTTGATGTCCACCATGGTCTTGTGGAGATGTTGCAAGAGGAGGAGGATGGTGGTAGATGGGGAAAAGGGAGGGTCTTGGGTCGTGATGTCCACCGTGGGCTTGGGGGGATGTGCCAAGAGGAGGAGGATGGTGGTGCGTGGGGAAAGGGACGTTCTTCACTCTTGGTGTCCACCATGGTCTTGTGGGGGTATCGCAAAAGGATGAGGATGGTGGTGGGTGGGGGAAAGGGACGTTCTTCACTCTTGGTGTCCATCGTAGTCTTGTTGGGATGTGCCAAGAGGAGGAGGATGGTGGTAGATGGGGGAAAGGGAGATTCTTGGGTCTTGATGTCCACCATGGTCTTGTGGAGATGTCCCAAGAGGAGGAGGATGGTGGTGGGTGGGGGAAAGGGAAGTTCTTGGGTGTTGGTGTCCACTGTGGTCATGGTGGGGTGTCCCAAGAGGAGGAGGATGGTGGTGGGTGCAGAAGAGGGAGGGTCTTGGGTCTTGATGTGCACCGTGGTCTTGTTGGGATGTCCCAATGTTGTAGAGGAAGAGGATGGTGGTAGATGGGGAAAAGGGACGTTCTTCACTCTTGGTGTCCACCATGGTCTTGGTGGGATGTCCCAAGAGAAGGAGGATGGTGGTGCGTGCAGGAGAGGGAGGGTCTTGGGTCGTGGTGTCCATTGTGGTCTTGGTGGGATGTCCCAGTATTGTAGAGGAGGAGGATGGTGGTAGATGGGGAAAAGGGACGTTCTTCACTCTTGGTGTCCACCATGGTCATGCTGGGGTGTCCCAAAAGGAGGAGGACGGTGGTGGGTGCAGGAGAGGGAGGTTCTTGGGTCTTGGTGTCCATCATGGTCTTGTGGGGATGTGCCAAGAGGGAGAGGATGGTGCTGGGTGTGGTTTTTTCATTCTTGGTGTCCACCATCATCTTGTTGGGATGTGCCAACATCTCAGAGGAGGAGGATGGTGATGGGGGGGTTGGTTCCTTCTGGAAGATGATGGGGTAGGACTGGGAGGTGATGGACGACACCAGGGAAGTTCTCCTCGTCCCATCACCCGTTCCTTCCTGGGACAGCCCAGAAGAAGAGGACAGTGTTGGGTGGGGCTGGGGCTGAAGGACCATCCCTGGAAGTTCTCCTGGTCCCAGTACCGTGCTGTTCCTGGGACATCCCAGAAGGAGCTGACACTGGGTGGGATTTAGGCTGAAGGACCATCCCTGAAGTTCTCCTGGTCTCACCTGTTCCCTTCTGGGACATCCCAGAAGAACAGGACAGTGTTGGGTGGGGCTGGGGCTGAAGGACCATCCCTGAACTTCTCCTGGTCCCATCACCGTGTCCTTGCTGGGACATCCCAGAAGAAGAGAACAGTACTGGTTGGGTCTGGGGCTGAAGGACCATGCCAGGGAAGTTCTCCTGGCCCCACCACCGTGTCCTTGCTGGGACATGCCAGAAGGAGCCAGTAAACCCCAGCGTTCCTCAAGGACATTTTTTGTTCTCTGAGGAAACCCCGACGTTCCTCAAGGACATTTTGGGTTCTTTGAGAAAACCCCAGTGTTCAACAAGGATGTTTTTGGGTTCTGTGAGGAAACCCTGATGTTCCTCAAGGACATTTTGAGGTTCTTTGGGGCCATCCCAGGGTTCTTTGAGAACATCTTGGTGTTCCTCAAGAACATCTTTTGTTCTTTGAGGAAACCCCAACATTTCTCAGGGACGTTTTGGGGTTGTTTGATGAAACCCCAATGTTCCTCAAGGATGTTTTGGGTTCTTTGAGGCCATCCTGGTGTCTTTTGAGAACATCCTGATGTTCCTCAAGGACATTTTGGCTTCTTCGAGGAAACCCCGACGTTCCTCAAGGACATTTTGGGTTCTTTGAGGAAACCCTGATGTTCCTCAAGAACATTTTTGGGTCCTTTGAGGAAACCCCGATGTTCCTCAAGGATGTTTTGGGTTCTGTGAGGCCATCCCAAGGTTCTTTGAGAACATCCTGATGTTCCTCAAGAACATCTTTTGTTCTTTGAGGAGACCTTGACTTTCCTCAAGAACGTTTTGGGTTCTTTGAGGCCATCCTGGTGTCTTTTGAGAACATCCTGACGTTCCTCAAGAACTTCTTGGGGTTGTTTGAGGAAACCCCGGCGTTCCTCAAGGACATTTTGGGTTCCTTGAGGAGACCTTGATGTTCCTCAAGAACAGTTTGGGTTGTTTGAGGAAACCCCAGCGTTCCTCAAGGATGTTTTGGGTTCTTTGAGGAGACCTTGATGTTCCTCAAGAACATTTTGGGTTCTTTGAGGCCTTCCTGGTGTCTTGTGAGAACATCCTGATGTTCCTCAAGGACGTTTTGGGTTCTTTGAGAACATCTTGATGTTCCTCAAGGACGTTTTGGGTTCTTTGAGAACATCTTGATGTTCCTCAAGGATGTTTTGGGTTCTTAGAGGAAACGTTCTGTGAGGCCATCCCAAGGTTCTTTGAGAACATCCTGATGTTCCTCAAGAACATCTTTTGTTCTTTGAGGAGACCTTGACTTTCCTCAAGAACGTTTTGGGTTCTTTGAGGCCATCCTGGTGTCTTTTGAGAACATCCTGACGTTCCTCAAGAACTTCTTGGGGTTGTTTGAGGAAACCCCGGCGTTCCTCAAGGACATTTTGGGTTCCTTGAGGAGACCTTGATGTTCCTCAAGAACAGTTTGGGTTGTTTGAGGAAACCCCAGCGTTCCTCAAGGATGTTTTGGGTTCTTTGAGGAGACCTTGATGTTCCTCAAGAACATTTTGGGTTCTTTGAGGCCTTCCTGGTGTCTTGTGAGAACATCCTGATGTTCCTCAAGGACGTTTGGGGTTCTTTGAGAACATCTTGATGTTCCTCAAGGACGTTTTGGGTTCTTTGAGAACATCTTGATGTTCCTCAAGGATGTTTTGGGTTCTTAGAGGAAACCCCGACGTTCCTCAAGGACGTTTTTGGGTTCTTTGAAAACATCCTGTTGTTCCTCAAGAACATTTTGGGTTCTTTGAGGAGACCTTGATGTTCCTCAAGGATGTTTTGGGTTCTTTGGGGAAAACTCAGTGTTCCTCAAGAACATCTTGAGGTTCTTTGAGAACATCTTGATGTTCCTCAAGAACATTTTGGGTTCTTAGAGGAAACCCCGACATTCCTCAAGGAGGTTTTTGGGTTTTTTGAGGAAACCCCGATGTCCCTCAAGGACATTTCGGGTTCTGTGAGGAAACCCCGACGTTCCTCAAGGAGGTTTTTGGGTTCTGTGAGGAAACCCTGACGTTCCTCAAGAACATTTTGGGTTCTGTGAGGAAACCCCGGTGTTCCTCAAGGACATTTTGAGTTCTTTAAGGAAACCCCAACATTCCTGAAGGACATTTTGGGTTCTGTGAGGAAACCCCAATGTTCCTCAAGGACATTTTGGGGTTCTTTAAGGAAACCCCGACGTTCCTCATGAACATTTCGGGTTCTGTGAGGAAACCCCGACGTTCCTCAGGACATTCTGGGTTCTTTGAGGAAACCCTGATGTTCCTCAAGGACGTTTTGGGTTCTTTGAGGAAAACTCAGTGTTCCTCAAGAACATCTTGAGGTTCTTTGAGAACATCCTGATGTTCCTCAAGAACATTTTGGCTTCTTAGAGGAAACCCCAACGTTCCTCAAGGAGGTTTTTGGGTTCTGTGAGGAAACCCCGACGTTCCTCAAGAACATTTTGGGTTCTCTGAGGAAACCCCGATGTTCCTCAAGAACATTTTGGGTTCTCTGAAGAAACCCTGACGTTCCCCAAGAACATTTTGGGGTTCTTTAAGGAAACCCCGATGCTCCTCAGGACGTTTTGGGTTCTGCGGGTGCGAGCTGGGTTTTGGGGTCGGCGGTGGTGGCGACGCTGACTGACGGCTCCCCCTGTTGCAGGTCACCTGCGGGAAGCCCCCTCCCCCCTCATGATGCCTTCCCCACAGATGGCGCCGTTCCAGGGCCTCGTGCCTCAGTCGCCCCCTCAGCAGAGCATCCAGCCAAAAAAACAGGTGACGCCGCGGGGTCGGGGTCGGGGTGTGGGGTTTGG